ATATATTCTTGATCAGCATAAAATTCTATGTCAATATACCAAGGTCCGACAATCTGCCCGCCAGTGGGAATCACTCTAGCTTCCGAACGAAGTGAAGTATGTTGATTAAATTTTACTCAAATGTATATTATGTCTGCTGGATTTTTGGTACTGAAAATGCGTCCTGTAGGCCGACGTTTTGGTATACCCCCCACATTACGGTACCTCCCAATATTCGGTATTTTGATGATTATTGACATATTTGTTCAAGAATTTCTCTGAAAATTGGTGGTTGTAGATCATAACGGGTCCCAGTTCGTGTGGCGAGTCACTTTAATTATAGGTCCACATTTTGGTATAGCCTCCATATAACGATACCTCCCGATATTCGGTATTTTGACGATTTTATCGACATTATTCACCGGTATTGTTTATAATTTAGTATTTGAAGTTCGTTACGGATACTGCAGCCTAAGACAGAGAATTGTCTGTGCATGTCCACGTCTTCGTATGGTCTCCATATAACGATACCTCCCGATATTCGGTATTTTGATGATTTTATCGACAATTTTCACCGGTATTGTTTCAAATTTGGTATTTGAAGTTCGCAACGGATACTGCAGCCAATGACAGAAAATTGTCTGTGCAGATCTACGTCTTCGTATAGCCCTAATATAAAGGTACCCCCTATATTCGGTATTATGATGATTTTAGCTACATTATACACCGAATTTTATACCTTACAGCATAGTATGGAAGGTATATGAGGTTTGTTATTCCGTTTGTAACACCTCGAAATTTACAGTTTGGACCCCACAAAGTATATATTTTCTTGATCAGCATAAAATTCAATATCGATCTAGTAATGTCCATCCGTCTTACCGCCTGTGGGAATCACTCTAGCTTCCGAACGAAGTGAGGTATGTTGATTAAATTTTACTCAAATGTGTATTATGTCTGCAGGATTTTTGGTACTGAAAATGCGTCCTGTAGGCCGACGTTTTGGTTTAGCCCCCATATACTTGTATCTCCCTCTTTTCGGTATTTTGGTGATTTCAGCAATATTATTCACGGGAAATGCTTGAAATTTGGTATTTGAAGTTCGTTACGGATACTGCAGCCTAAGACAGAAAATTGTCTGTGCATGTCCACGTCTTCGTATAGTATCCATATCACGGTACCTCCCGATATTCGGTATTTTGATGATTTTATCGACAATTTTCACCGGTATTGTTTCAAATTTGGTATTTGAAGTTCGCAAGGGATACTGCAGCCTTTGACAGAAAATAGTCTGTCCAGATCTACGTCTTCGTATAGCCCTAATATAATGGTATCCCCTATATGCGGTATTATGATGATTTTAGCTGCATTATACACAGAATTTTTATACCTTACAGCATAGTATGGAAGGTATATTAACTTTGTCATTCCGCTTGTAACACCTCGAAATATACAGTTTAGACCCCACAAAGTATATATATGATTGATCAGCATAAAATTCTATGTCGATTTAGCAATGTCCGCCCGTCAATGAAAATTACGCTAGCTTCCGAACGAAGTGAAGTATCTTGATTACATTTTACTTAAATGTGTATTATATCTGCAGGACGTTTGGTATGGAAAATGTTCCACGTTTTGGTATAGCCCCCATACAACCGTACCTCCGATATTCGGTACTTTGATGATTTTAGGGACATTATTCACCGGAATTATTATTTGAAGTTCGTAGGGGGTAATAAAGCCTGTGACAGAAAACTGTCTGTGCAGGTCCAAGTTTTGTATATCCCCTATATAACGGTACTTCCCGATATTCAGTATTTTGATAATTTTATCGACAATGTTCACCGGTATTGTTTCAAATTTGGTATTTCTAGTTCGTAAGGGATACTGCAGCCTATGACAGAAGATTATCTGTGCAAGTCCACGCTTTCATATATACTCCATATAATGGTACCTCCCGATATTCGGTATTTTGATGATTTTATAGACAATGTTCACCGGATTTGTTTTAAATTTGGTGTTTGAAGTTCGTAATGGATGCCACAGCCTATGACAGAAAATTGTCTGTGTAGATCCAAGTTTCGTATATCCTCCATATAACGGTACTACCCGATATTCGGTATTTTGATAATTTTAGCGACATTATTCACCGGATTTGTTCTAAATTTGGTGTTTGAAGTTCGTAATGGATGCCACAGCCTATGACAGAAAATTGTCTGTGCAGGTCCACGTCTTCGTAGAGCCCTAATGCAACGGTACCCTCTATACTCGGTATTTTGATGATTTTAGGTACATTATTCACCGGAATTGTTTCAAATTTGGTATTTGAAGTTCGTAATGGATACTGCAACCTATGACAGAAAATGTAGTTCCATATATATTGTTGATTTTAACGACATTATTAACCGGAATTGTTTCAAATTTGGTGTTTGTAGTCCGTAATGGATACTACAGCCTTTGACAGAAAATGCAGGTCCCTACCTTCGTATAGCCCTAATATAACGGTACCCCTTATATTCGGTATTTTGATTATTTTAGATACATTATTCACCGGAATTTTTTTCAAATTTGATATTTGAAGTTCGTAGTGAATACTACAGCCTATGAAAGAAAATTATCTGTGGGCCTCCACGACTTCGAATAGCCCCCATTTTCTTTAAGGATTTGTCGTAATGGGTCCTAGTTCGTGTTTCATATAGCCCCCCCCCCTGTAACGGTACCTCCCGATATTCGGTATTTTGATGATTTATGTCACATTTTGTTAAGGATTTGTGTGAAAATTTGTATTTGTATGACATTCTGGTTTTCAGTTCGTATGGCGATACATTGTATGCATAGGTTCACGCTTTGGTAAACCCCCCATATAATGGTACCTCCCGTTATACGGTAATTTGATGATTTTTGCCACATTTCTTTGCGGATTTGGATTTTATAGGTCCAGTTTTTGCATCGCCCCATACAGCGTTACCTCCCGATATTAGTTATTATGATGATTTTTGCCACAGTTTTCCAAGAATATGTCTAAAAATTGGTATTTGTGGAGCATAATGGGTTCTAATGTTTCCTTTACCCAAAGGTGGAGGGTATTAAAAGTTCGGATCGGCTGAACTTAATGCTTTTATTCCCTCCATATACATAGTATGGAGGGTATTTTAAGATTGTCATTCCGTTTGTGACCCATCGAAATAATAATTTTAGACCCAACAAAGTATACATATTCTTGATCATATTATATCATATATATTCTTTGTAATCACGCTACAGTCAAAACGAATAAAGATAGGAAGCTAAAATTTTGCACTGAGCTGTCTTTTGTCTGCAGGCGGTTCAAGTTCGAAGATGGGATCTGTCGGTCCACGATAACGTATAGCTCCCATATAACGGTAAACCCCGATATTCGGTATTTTCATGATTTTAGCAACATTTTCTATGGAATTGTCTGAAATTCCACACAAGGAGTCCCTTGTGAGTGCTACATCTCTTGGAAGAGAATTTTCTATATAGTTCTACGATATCGTGTAGCCCCCGTTCAACGGTACCCCCCGATATTCAGTATTTTGTTCAAGGGAGTTGGCTGCAATTCCACACAAGGGTCCCTTGACGATTTTAGCCACATTTTTCAACGGAATTGTCTGAAATTGTACACAAGGGGTTATTTGTGAGCACTTTACCCCCTGACAGAAAATTATCTATATAGGTTAACGATATCGTTACAAAGTATATATATTTTGGATCAGCGTAAGATTCTAAGACGATCTAGCGATGTCCGTCTCTCTGTCTGTTCATCTGTCTGTTGTAATCACGCTATCTGTTGAATGTATTGAGATAGAAGGCTAATATTTTGCATACATGCATACCAGTAGTCAGGTTTAGTTCGTAAATGGGCCATGTCAATCAACGTTTTCCTATAGCCCCCATATAACGATACATCCCGATATTCGGTATTTTCATGATTTTAGCGGCAGTTTCTTCAAGAATTATTTCAAATTTCATATTTAAAGTTCGTAATGGGTAATACAGCCTATTACAAAAAATTTTGAATGCAGTTTCATGTCTTCGTATAGCCCCCGTATAACGGTACCTGCCGATATTCGGTATATTAATGATTTATGTGACATTATTTACCGAAATTATTTCAAATTTCGTATTCGCAATGGATACTACAGACTATGATAAACATTTTTGTATGCAGGTCCACGTCTTCGTGTAGCTTCCATATAACGGTAATTTCCGATATTCGGTATTTTGATGATTTCAACAACATAATTCTCCGGAATCGTTCCAAATTTCGTATTGGAAGATCCTAATGGGTACTGCAGCCTATGACAGAAAATTGCCTGTGCAGGTCAACGTCTTAGTATAGCCCCTATTTAACGGTACCCCCGATATTCGGTATTTTCATGATTTCAGCGACATTATTTACCAGAATTATTTCAAATTTCGTATTTGAGTGCTGCAGGCTATGACAAAAATATTTGGATGCAGGTCCACGTCTTCATACCTCCCAATACTCGGTGTTCTTATGATTTGTGCGACATTATGCAACGGAATTGTAACAAATTTCGTATTTAAAGTTCGTAATGTGTACTACAGTATATGACAAAAATTTCGTGTGTGGGTTCACGTTTCCGTATAGCCCCTACATAACAGTACATCCCGTTATTTGGTGTTTTGATGATTTTAGCGACAATATTCACCGGAATTGTTTCAAATTTGGTATTTGAAGTTCGTAATGGGTACTACAGCCGTTTTCGTATAGTCTCCTTATAACAGTTTTTATCTATGTGGTAGTTTCCGGAAATTTTTTGATTTATTTCAAGTTCCTTCCGAATGAAGGAGGGTATTAAGTGTTCGGACCGGCCGAAGTTAGCTGCTTTTTACTTGTTCAAATTTTCAAACGTGACTCGCCATTAAACGATTCCTAACAACACAAATAGCTGACATGTAACCAATAATGATACATAATTTTAAACGGTGCAAAATTAAAGAATTTTGTTTCAATTTTATATTCATAATGCAGATGCATGAATAAAATGGGTAGAAGACAATATTAGCTTCTTTAAATGACTGTTGTTCAATTTTAATAAATCAATAAAATAAACTATTTTACATATCATGCAAGAAATAGATGCTTAATTATATACTATTAGCAGAGCTATTAATGTCTTTTATTCCATCATCTACCCACTTATCCATTGAACGACGGCGCGCATTCATAAAGTAATTACCAATAGTTGTAGGTTCTAAGCCTAGTTGTCTAGCAATAGTAACCTGCATTTCCTTGGAAGGCCTCTTTGTTTCCTAAATATGGAACCTCAATATTAATTATTACAAAGGACAAAATGTTATCACAAACCTTAAAAATCGCTTGCAGAGTACGTCTTTGCAGATCTGTAAAAACGAGACGAGATCTTTTTGTGTGAAGGTTAGAATCTTGTGCATTAACATTAGTTTTGAGATTCACACTGCTAGCTGTAAAGTCTTCTAAAATTAAGTCATATATATTATTATTATTTTTATTTTTCTTTCAAAAATTTATATACAAATATTTTGTGGTCCTTAAATAGAAATAAAACAAACGCAAGCATTTAACAAGTAAAAAAAAATAAGTTCGGCCGGGTCAAATTTTCAATACCATCAATCTTACGGTAAAGGAAACATTTTTATATTAAAGTATCTGAATTCAAGCTTGTTTCACCTTAAACTTCATATACCAGTAAGTCCGTTTGCATAAAACCATAAAGTGAGGGAGGGCGTTATATGGGGCCATACCGAAACGGGAATCTCTATAGCCAATATATATCTATAGCATTAAACCAACAATTTGAAGCAACATCCAAGGACTAACTTTTCAAGATGTGCACAGAACTTTTTTCGTTCGAATGGTTAGAAGATTTGGACGTTTCCACGCACATTTCGAAACTTAAAAGTTTGTGGACAGAAAATAATGCCGGTTTGGAATGAAAAGGTAACCAAAAGCTTCCTGAACTGCTTCTAATGTGTAAGATTCTGCATATGCTACCATCATCATAAAAAATGTTCAAATCGAGTTGGATGATGTTAACTCGAGACAAAGATAAGTCTTTAGACGAACTTATTATGCAGCATTTTCTCTATGAACTCAATTTGAAGAAGACTGAGAATTTTGAAGATTAAGAAGCTCTAGTCATCAATGATAAGTACTCTAAAAAGAAGAAAGTAAGTGCAAAAACTGAAAATATTTGCCATTATTGTAAGAAAAAAAGGCCACTCCAAATCAAAATCAATTGTGGATCATACAAATGTAGCACTACAATCATTGTCAAATGAGGTGAAATAAAATTTCACACATGCCAACATTTTTGCTAACCTGTCACTAACCACTTCTGGTACCTCACCCACAAAGGGTCACACTTTTCAAATTCAAATCTAAATATTTCTCTCAACCAGAAACCTGAGATGAATATGGATTTTATGATTTCCCATAAATTGGATATAAATGTTCTATTTTCTTGTATTTTTTCCATACTAATATTGTTATCTTTATTAGATGAAGTATGAAAATTGCATACTTCGGTCGACCATATCTGGTACCTCACGCACATTTAAACATTTTCTATAAATTATCTCTTATCTCACAGCCCAATTCTCTATATTTTGCAGGAAAAGAGTGTTAAAGAGATATTGGGAAGGGGCAAACAGAGCTGTTATCAAAGGTCGATAACAAGGAGAGAGTTGTGACTTTTAACGACGTATGGTATGTGCCATAAATATCTCTAAACGTTTTTTCGATTTTAGCAGCCCACGACAGAAATCCGAATAGCAAATTTACATCTACCACAAAAGAATGTAACATGTACCTTAATGGAGAACTTATGGTACATCGTCAACGAGAAATTAATTGTAGTTTGTATTCAAACTAAATGCCCGCCCAAAATCACCCACACAGAATATACCCTTAATTGAAGAAAAGTAGTTGTTACACTTATACCAGTTATCAAAAAGAAATGGGAATTTCAGTGAAGAATACAATTGTGAACCATGCATTTTTGGAAAATCTTGTAGAAAACCTTTTGTAAGACGTGAAGCTTCGACCCTGGAGAATTAATATCAACAGATGTATGTTGCCCTTTCCCACCTTCCTTGTAGTATTTAAAGATGACTATACAAAATATCGATATGGGTATTTCTTAAAACAAAAATCAGATGTCATAGATTCGCTAATGTTGATACAGGCAAAATGTTAAGGACACATTGTAAAGACATTGTAAATTAGAGACAATGGTGGCGAATTTGACAACGATACGAAAAAAATTCTTGCTCAGCATGGAGTTACTCATAGATTGACGGCTCCGTATACACCAAAGTGCTGAAAGAGAGCCCTTAGTTTTCCAATAAATTTCCAATTTCCAGAATCCTTAGGGTGTGAGTTTGAAAAATAAGTAATATACATAATAAACAGGACAGGAAAGTCATACGATGCTGATATTAGCCCTTTCGAAAAATGGTATGGTAAGAAGACTAAAATACGACATTTGCGAATCATAGCATCAACATGTTATATACACATTACAAATCAAAAGCGGAAGAAGATGGACCAGAAAGCTGAAAAAAGATATTTGATTGGATATGATGGAGATGAGCGATATGGTATTTATCTATCTGAAAAGAAAAAAGTTAAGGTTTCAAGAGATCTTAAATTTGTAGAAAAAATAAATAATAACCGCATAACAGAGAAACTGAATCTAGAGAAAAAAAGACAAGTAACAAAGCAGTAAGTTCGGCCAAGTCGAACTTTGAATACGCTCTACCATTTGGAAGTAATTAGAAAATTTTCAAAAAAATAAAATCCATTGAAAATTCTGTTAAAGTCTTTAAAATAAGTACCCACAAGGAACTCCTTGTGTGGATTATCAGAAATTTCTGTTGAAAATGTGGCTAAAATCATCAAAATGCCGAATATCGGGGGGTACAGTTATATGGGGGATATACGATATCGTGTACCTACATAGACAATTCTCTTTCAGGGGGTGAAATACTCATCAAATAACCCTCTTTCAAGGGATAAAGTATTCACAAGGAACTCCTTGTGTGGATTTTCAGACAATTCCATTAGAAAATGTGTCTAAAATCATCAAAATACCAAATATCGGGGGGTGCCGTTATATGGGGACTATCGTCGACCTATATAGATAATTCTCTTCCGAGGTATAAAGTGCCCGCAAGGAACTCCTTGTGTGGATTTCCAGACAATTCCGTTAACAAATGTGGGTAAAATCATCAAAATACCGAATGTCGGGGGCACCTTTATATGGGGGCTATACGATATCGTGCACCGACTGACTGTAGCGTGTTTACAACAGACGGACAGGTCTAAATCGTCTTAGAATTTAACGCTGATCAAGAATATATGTACTTTGTTGGGTCTAAAATTATTATTTCGATGAGTTACAAACGGAATGACGAACTTAATATACCCTCCATACTATGTATGGTGGAGGGTATAAAAAAATCGTATCAGATCGAACGTAAATCCTGATAATGATGCAACACCTTTCGATTTAACAAAGATTGAACGTTACAATGATTTCGCTCAAGAAGAGCAAATTCAGAATCGTTTTAATGCCTCAATGGATCAATCTGTAGAAGCAGAAAATTACCAATTAACCAAAGATTCGCCAAACACGGAAGACAATTTAGAAATTAATTCAAATTCTGACAGTGATTTTGAAGATGCTGGATCAGAAAGTAACAACAGACAGAAATCGGAAGAAGGAATTTGTAGTTTTTGAAAATTAAGAAACGGAAAATTTATTATTTCAGATGCCACTCATAAAGAATTAGCTATGCTATCCCAGTTTGTTAATAGCACAGAAACTCCAAACTCTTATTTTGAAGCTACTAAAGTAAAGCTAAAGCTCTCCCATAAAAATGGCTTTACAAAGTAGAAACAAAAGCTGTACAAAGCCAGATTTGTTATCAAAGGTTATAATCAGACCAAGGGAGTTGATTTTAACCAAACTTTTAGTCCGGTAACAAGAATGTCCACAATTCCATCTCTTTTGAGTGTTGCTGCCACAGAAAAGATCCAATTAGCGAGGTTCGATGTTCCAACAGCTTTTCTTAATGGAGTGTTGAAAGTAACTAACTTCATGCAACAGCCAAGAGGATTTGAAGATGGTACAAAAATAGTTTGTTCTCTGAAAAGAAGTTTGTATGGTCTTAAGCAAGCACCACGGTGCTGGAATACAGGAATCCAAAAATGTTTAACCAAATTGGGATTTAAAGTAAGTTTTGCTGATAGTTGTTTATACATCAGAGAAAAACAGGGAAAGAAAGTAATTATTGTTCTGTATAGAGACGATGATTTAGAATTCAAAATTACCCACAATGATTCAAATTACTTTCTTGGCTTAAAAATTAAAAAGTCAGATGAATGTGTAAAAATAAGTCAGAAGAAAATTTTGGAAATATTTACGTTTTTGGAATGTAGAGCAGTATCAACTCCAATGGAAAGTATTGCAACCGTTGCTGATGTTCAAAAATCAACAACTGATTTTCCATATCGGCAAGCAGTTGGAGAAATAATGTATTTAAAGTTAGGAACTAGTCCGGATTTGGCATTTTGTGTTGGCGTTTTGTCATTTCTTGAATCCCCTACAACTGAAGATGTACATGTAATTATGGAATAATTTACCAAACAAACAGCATAAAGAAATTTGAATGTTATAGTGATGCAGATTATGGAGGCTAAAGAAACACAGGACGATCAACAACCAGCGAAAGAAAACAAACGAAACGATTAACGTACCGCTCACACGAAGTCACAAACTTTTAAAATTTTTTCTCTTAGTGAAAGTTTGAAGTATTGTTATACGTTTTCCATATTCTATTTTAAACAAATTAATTTTTTTTCTTGATACATCATACCAGCGCCAAACAAAACTGTGTTGCCCATATATTTTTGCACAACACTGGCAAAACTGAGTGTATTCCACAAGCTAGTGCTACAATGAACTGTAAAAAATGTAAATCTAAATTAAAAATTTGTTTGTTTGTTAAACTTTTTTAACTATAATAAAAACGTCACCAATCACTTTGTACAAAACATTATTTAAAAATCTACTAATTTTTAAAGTGTTATTATAGCATTTTTGAATTTTCAATGTTCACATTAAATTGTTCACATTTGTTTACACCAATGAATCTACCTTTATTTATCTACGATGACAATTAGCAGTTGAACATTTGTAAGACCATGCCGCGACTTTGTAAGACCATGCTGCGTCCAAAAATTTTATGCTGCTTATGAATGTATATACTTTATGGGGTCTACGATGAATATTAAGGGATGTTAAAAACGGAATGGAAATGTTAATATACAATCCTTTCCAAGGTGGAGGGTATAATAAGTAACAAAACATTAAGTTCGGCCGGGCCAAAAAAAAAAAAAAAAAAAAAAAAACATAAAGTGAGTGAGGCCGTTATATGGGGCAATACCAAAA